TTCGGTCATGCCGCAAACTAAATAAAATAACTAATTTCAAATCGTAACGTACAACTACTTTCTCGATGTTTGCCTTTTGTTTTGCTATTTGCCCTGCGCGGCAACACTGATTTAATTGTCATTGCTAACTACCTTTTTTTGCACTTTTCGCTTATCGCTGCCTGGCCCTTCGTCCACGGCAAGCTTCATGTAATTCGTTTTTCACTCGCATACAAGAAGGCACGAACGCCGCTGATCGCTTGCTCGCGCCTATATATACTTTCGCTAAAGGCACAGACAAATCGGTCTGCCTGCCCAACATATCTTTTCGCTTCAAAAGGCACAGACAATTCGGTTTGCCTGCCTAACCAAAGCTAACAAACAATAACTTTGTATAATTAAGGCCTTGGTGCCAAATAATAAATGAGTGCATTTTAGTTCGAAATTTGTGCGTTATTATTTTATTTGTGCACCGGTAAGGGAATGGTCTTTGAAAAAGCTCATTGACCCAACATTTTGGTGACCCCGACGTGATCGTTAAACAATAAAAATTCGAAAATCGAACAAATAATCTTATTATTTTCGTTCGGTTTAAAGTTGGTGATCGCGCCTATACATAGTTTCGTTGCTCTGTGCACATAAGCGCAAGCTGTAACCTAGACGCTTGCACACACCCCGCCCCCCGCGCATCGCAAGTGAATTTTCATGTCCTCTTTGTGGCGTCATTCCCGCTTTAAACGTTTTTACAGCGGCGACAAACGTTTTTGTTCGCGGGTTCAGTGCCTATATATAAAAAAAAATTTACATTCTGTTACTCCACCCGGGAGCTTAGAGCCTCTACAATTTCTTGTAGAGGATTCATTATCATTGATTTTCGATCGTACCGGGGATAAGCCAGTAGCGACTTATCCTAGCGGTGGGGTTGCCACCTGGCGCCATCTAGGAGTGACGAAAATTCTATTGATGGGTCCATAGTAACATGGACGAGGGGGTGTGCGGGTCCGGGGAGCCGAAATTTGTTACTAATGTTAAGTGAGCGATAGAGCATAGAAGTGGTGGAGATTTGGAAAAAGAGACCGTTTCTTTTTCTCGGGGAGCCTGGGGCTCGACTTGAACCCGGGCCTTCCGGACCGGAGGCCAGCGCTCTACCTGCTGGGCCACCGTCCCCCGTCTATATATATATATATTCAAATAGACGCACAATTTTGGCGCTAATCTGTGCACAGTGGGACTATATCAGTTTGCAAGTGACTAATTTTTAAAGTTATAAAACCCCATATAAACAACATGTCAACGGACACAGCGGTTGCTGCTCCAGTTGCGGGAGCAAAATTTTATAAATTGAAGGCTGGCTCAATGCTTTCGAAAGCTAAAGCCTTCGAGAAGACCCTGACCAACGAGATGCTTCAGAATATGACCGAGGAAGAACTGCAACTTCGTGTTCAAGCCCTGGACGAGAGCAAGACCGCATTTCTTCAGATCCATGACCGACTTGAGGAGCTGGACTTTGACGAAATCGGAAGCATGGTTCGAGGTGACTTTGAGGAGCTGGTCATATCTGCAAAAATTAGGTTGAATCGCGAAATGGGTAAGCGAAAGGGTCCGGCAATTCGCAGCTCCACACTCAGGCCAGAGCCCTCCATTAATTTCCATTCCATGTCAGCGGCTAGGAGATCTCATTTGCCCGAATTGAGACTGCCTGATTTTTCTGGGGGCTATACCGAATTTGCGGATTTTCAGTCGATGTTCAAGGCCATTATCGACAACGATGTTGAGCTATCCAACATTGAGAAGCTGCAGCATCTCAAGTCGTGCTTGAAGGGTTCCGCCTTGGACACAGTTCGGTCTTTGGAAATTTGCGATATTAATTATGCTGTGGCCTGGGAATTATTGAACAACCGGTTCTCATTTTCCAATCCCATATTAACGCAATCTTGAGTCTCCCCAAAGTCGATATGGAGTGTGCCACGAAGTTGAGAGACATGTCGGATAAAATAAATGCCAATTTACGTGCTCTCCAATCAATGGGTTCGGTGGAGCAGATTTCGAATTGCGTTCTCGTCCACGTTCTGCTTCAAAAATTAGACAGCAAAACTCAAGCCAAGTGGGAAGAATCTGCCGTGATAGATGAAATTCCATCGATCGATCAATTCGCTACATTTTTGTCTAAGCGTTGCCAAAAACTTGAAAATGTACAACACACTGCAGCCTTTTACTCGAATAGTTATCAGTCAGCAAAACCCCGCAACAGAAGTATCTTAGTTGCCACCAACACTTCGGGAAATTGGTGTGTTGTGTATGACAACAGTAGTCACTCGATATATAGCTGTGATCAATTCTCCAATCTAGCAATACAAGAGCGCATTCAAAGGGCAAAGGGATTGGCGCTGTGTCTCAATTGCTTGAAGAAGGGGCATCAAATGCGCAATTGTCGGTCAGGCTGCTGCCGAATTTGCGGCTCCAAGCATCACAGCCTCTTACATCTCGGCTCTCAGCCTTCGACCGAGGCTCAGCGAGCTCTCGTGGCGGAACCAAGTACGTCAAACGCAATCGCCTCTAGCCCCTCTACCTCTTTGCTGGCTCAGAATATGGAGTCTGATATGGTTTTCCTTGCAACTGCAGTTATAAGCGTTCAAAGTCGATCAGGTGCTTGGATCCCATGCCGCACGCTGCTAGACTCGGGATCACAGGTCCACATTGTGACTTCCCGATTTGCTCACCAGTTGCAACTACCTAAAACCAAGTCTACCGTAGCAGTTGCTTGTCTTGGAGATGCCCGTTTTAATTCTGAAGGAGCTGCCGTTTGCACAAAATTAAAGTCTCTTACCTCCAATTATTTCGCATGCCTATCTGCACTTGTTGCTCCGGCAATTACTGACAACCAACCCAGCTTGACCGTTAAGCCCGATGGTTGGAAAATTCCGTCTAATATTCAGTTGGCCGATCCTGAATTTTATAAGTCTCAGCGTATTGATCTTCTGATTGGAGAAAGCATGTTCTTTGAACTATTATCCGTAGGGCAGATTAAGTTAGCTGCTGGGTTACCCCTATTGCAGAAAACGAGACTTGGTTGGATCGTAACCGGAGGAGGATCTTCCTCAATCAAGGCAACTGCGTTGCAGGGTCAAGCTGTCCAGCGTGAATTGGTTGCTGCCGAAGGTCGTATGGATGAGCTAGTTCGTCGCTTCTGGGAGGTTGAGAGTTGTGGAGATGGCGTGGTCACAGCCACCAAAGAAGAACTAGAGTGTGAGGCTCATTTCATGACCAATTTTCGTCGCTTGGACTCAGGTGAATATTCCGTAAAATTGCCTGCAAAGAACACTTTAGAATTGCTGGGTGAATCTTACAATCAAGCCTATCGTCGCTTTCTCAATTTAGAGAACAAGCTACAGCGCAAGCCAGATGTCAAGGTCCAATATTCGGCATTCATTCGCGAATATTTGGATTTAAACCACATGTCTCTTGTGCCCAAAGACTCCTTGAGTCTTTGCAAATATTTTCTGCCCCACCACTGCGTTTTCAAGGAAGATAGCACCACGACTAAATTGCGAGTCGTTTTTGATGGGTCTGCCAAAACGTCTAGTGGATACTCGCTGAACGAGGTTTAAATGGGAGGGCCTACCATTCAACAAAAGCTGTTCAACACGCTGTTACAGTTTCGGACTTTCCCTGTTGCATTGACTGGTGACGTCTGCAAGATGTATAGGTGTGTTCGCGTGGCTGAACCCGATAGCTACTTCCAATGTATTCTTTGGCGTGACTCACTGGACCAGGAGGTGCAGGTATTCAAGCTGGATACCGTGACTTATGGAACCAAGCCTGCAGCCTTTTTATCCGTTCGAACGATGCATCAATTGGCGAGTGATGAGAAGAGTTCATTTCCAATCGGCTCCAAAACCATCTTGCGAGACTTCTACGTTGACGATCTGATCACAGGAGGAAAATCAGCACAGGAGGTCCTCGAAGTCATGTCTCAAACCACCAACTTGCTGTCACGAGGTGGTTTCAAACTCCGGAAATGGTGTTCCAACGACCGCGATGTCCTTGATCAGATTGCTGACTCGGAAAAGGAAACATTCCTGAAGTTCGACGATGGCAGCGATTTTACCAAGACACTGGGTCTTGCGTTTCTCTTTTTCTCCCATACAGGTCTCTCCAAAGCCTTGTAAACGACTGGTGCTGTCCACAATTGCTCGGATTTACGATCCTCTTGGTCTCATTGGTCCTGTAGTTGCCAAGGCCAAAATCTTCCTGCAACAAGTCTGGAGAGAAAAGTTGGAGTGGGATGAGAGCTTTCCTGAGGCACTCAACACATCGTGGCTGAAGTTGTCATCCGACATGAGTCGTACCCAGCAAATGAAGTTTCCTCGACGTGCGCTGCATCCAAATGGTGCTATTGAGATTCACGGATTCTGTGATGCCAGCATCGACGCCTATGGTGGATGCATTTATCTCGTTTCAATAGCTGAGGGCAAGCGAGAAGTGCATCTGTTTTGTTCAAAGTCTCGTGTAGCACCTTTGAAGACTCTCACAGTTCCTAAATTGGAGCTGTGCGCTGCCGTGTTACTGGCCCAGCTGATGCGGGACGTACGCAACATGGATCTCTTCGATTGCCCGTTTTATTGCTGGTCGGATTCCGCTGTAGCTTTATCATGGATAAGCGATGAACCTTCACGTTTCCAAGTATTTATTGCTAATCGAATTTCTTTAATTCAAGAGCTATCCAGTGGCATGAATTGTCAAGAGGTGCTTCCCCGACTGAGCTTCTGGAATCTGCCCTTTGGTTCAGAGGCCCAGCGTTTCTTCTCAAGAATCAGCACGATTGGCCTGAATCTTGTTTGCCTGTGAAGACTCTGCCCGAGCTCAGAAAGCGCATTTTGGTTGGCGTCTCTACCGAAGTGGATCTGACTTTAAAATGCAAGTTTTTGAATTCCTGGCAAAAGATGACCCACACCTTTGGATATGTATACAAATTTGCACACCGTATAAGACGTCCTGGTCTTGCCGTCGAAGATGTCAAAATGGGCACTCAGATGCTCATCAGATGTATCCAGATAAGCAACCTGGCTGATGACTACTGGAGAGTGCATTCTAAGCAGCAAATTTCATCATCCAGCCCGTTGTCCTCTCTTTTGCCATTCATCGATAGCTTCGGTCTGATGCGAGTTGGTGGCCGTCTACAGAATTCGTCCTTGGATTACAATGCGCAGCATCCTGTCATACTGCCACGCCAGCATCCAGTTACACGTGCCATTATACTGGACTTGCATCGGAGGAACTTGCATTCTGGTCCACGAGCTCTGCTCGCTCACATGCGCCTTCAGTTTTGGCCGATAGGTGGCCGGAAAACAGTGTCAGCTGCAACTTCAAAATGCGTCATATGCTTTCGTGCCAAGCCACAGCTTTCTCAACACATAATGGCTGACTTGCCCAAGGATCGCGTAAACGCTACGTCTACGTTCATGGTTACTGGTCTGGACTTCTGCGGTCCATTTTATTACAAAACCGGAGTTCGAAGCAAGGTGCCTGTGAAAACATACGTCTGCGTCTTCATCTGTTTCGCGACGAAAGCGATCCATCTGGAGCTTGTCCAGGATCTTTCGACACAAGCATTTTTGGGAGCACTGAAGCGGTTTATTCTCACCAGAGGCAAACCTGTCCGAATATGGTGGGATAATGCCCCGAACTTTGTTGGAGCCAAGAACGAGCTAGCTGAGCTGAAGAATCTGTTCTTATCGAGCCCCCACATTCGAGCGATTGAAGAATTCTGCCTGGAAGATTCGATTGAGTGGCGTTTTATTCCCCCTCGTTCACCTCACTTTGGAGGTCTCTGGGAGGCTGCAGTAAAAACGGCCAAATTTCATTTCTACCGTTCTGTTGGCCCATCGTTATTATCGTTCGATGAATTGCGTACTCTCGTTTGCCACATTGCGGCGATTGTAAACTCACGGCCTTTACTCCCTCTTTCAGAGAATCCGGCAGATCTTGAGGCGCTAACTCCTGCACACTTTCTTGGCACAGTTCCTCTGGTGTTGTACTCAGAGCCTGACGTCACAAAGCTGAACTTCAACCGTTTGGACCGCTGGCAGAGTATTTCCTACTTCCAACAAATTTTCTGGTCACGGTGGCGTGAAGAGTACATGACCCTGTTACAGCAACGGTCAAAGTGGCGCACTCCCAAACTAAATAAAATAACTAATTTCAAATCGTAACGTACAACTACTTTCTCGATGTTTGCCTTTTGTTTTGCTATTTGCCCTGCGCGGCAAAACTGATTTAATTGTCATTGCTAACTACCTTTTTTTGCACTTTTCGCTTATCGCTGCCTGGCCCTTCGTCCACGGCAAGCTTCATGTAATTCGTTTTTCACTCGCATACAAGAAGGCACGAACGCCGCTGATCGCTTGCTCGCGCCTATATATACTTTCGCTAAAGGCACAGACAAATCGGTCTGCCTGCCCAACATATCTTTTCGCTTCAAAAGGCACAGACAATTCGGTCTGCCTGCCTAACCAAAGCTAACAAACAATAACTTTGTATAATTAAGGCCTTGGTGCCAAATAATAAATGAGTGCATTTTAGTTCGAAATTTGTGCGTTAATATTTTATTTGTGCACCGGTAAGGGAATGGTCTTTGAAAAAGCTCATTGACCAAACAGTGGCTTTTAGGTCAAATACTATATGCATTAGGAATATGTTTTTTACTTCACTAGAGCCATGTATGAAATTAACAGTGAAGGGGATGTTGATAGGAAGTATTTTTTAGCTCCTTTACGGGCATCACAGAAGTCTTTGAAACTCTGGTATCTATGTTTTCCTAGCCAACGGTCACTTAATGAATGGTAAACGGGACCTTCCTCTAAAAAATTAAGCAAGTCGTTGGAGTCAGTTGAGTCCTTGTCGTTCTGAATTTAGGGCGGCTGCAGTCGTGCTTTCTTATTTTTTTCCTTGTTAATCTTTCTGAAGAGTGATCTGTTTTTTGGGGGGTGTGCGGGATTGGAAACTGTTTGTCTGCTGTCTAAATTTAGAAGTCGAAGGATCTGAATCCACAGTAAAGGTGGAGAATTATCGATAGTCGGCGCCATCGATAGTCGGCGATTGTTTTTCCCAAACCCTCGATAGTGCCATCGATAGTCACCGATACTATCGTCCGACATTAAAATTTTTTTTTAAGTTTTCAATAGGGTTGTGAATAATATATCAAAATATCAATATATCGATATTTTTTTGACAAAAATAAATATTTATATCATGATATTTTTTCACCTGATATATCAAATATCGCTGATTTTTTTTTATATATATAAGGATACACGACAATATTGGCAATATCCTTAAAGGATCAAAAGTTGTTACTTGGTGAGTTTTATTTTGCGCCAAAAAAAATAAAAATTACGAATAATCATTATTTTTGAGTTTTATTTTTTTTGCTCAAGCTTAATGATTATTTTTGATTTTTATTTTTTTTGCTCAAAAATATTGTTTAAAAATAGAAGAATAAATATAACAATTAAAAATTAAAAATCATCAAGGATATTCATAGTGTATCCTTAAAGGATAAAAACGTGCTAGTCATGCTTGTTCTATGTTGATTGGAAGTGATTGATTTATTCATTTAAAAATAGCGACAATAATCATTATTTACGGTCCCTGCCGGGAATAAAAGTAATATATGTAAATATTGATAACTTATAATTTGTTTTCGAATTATACCTTGATCCATAGCAGGGGGGCACATCTTGACTGGCAATTGCCCTCTCCAGATATTGCCTTTTTATTAGAATAGCATCCACGCAAGCGTTTCCGACTTGGCTATTAGATCGCTCACCCAAAAAATCGAATAATGTGTCCTGAGCACTTGTGTCTGGTGAAATGGGCAGATTATTTGAGGTCTCTTTGATTGATTAATTTGCCAGTTCGTTTTCAAAAAGATTGCAGCTTGTTCAGCGTTTGAAGCGTGTTGAAAACCATTTTTTTTAAAACGTGGGTCCAATAACGTTGCCATCCTACATAATGTCCTGTGCTCATAAATGAAAAGGCGTTTCTTTATTGATTCCAATAGTATGTTTTGGATAGTTTTTCCTTCCAAAGTTTGAAGCAGAGGTGACACACTTTCAATTTTGCGGAAAAGTCCATATGCCGTGGGTATGATTAGTGATATGGTCACATACTTTCTACCAGAAATTTTTTCGCTTGATTGCTGGAAGAAAGACGACATTTTCTCTATATCCTTTAGCACAAGTATTTCCTCAGCAGTAATTGGCTGAGGTGCATTTGTTGTTCCTAATAGGACTTTGGCAATGGCATCGTTGGTTTTTAGAATTCAATCAATCATAAAAAAGAATCTGTTCCATCTAGTTGGTGTTTCTTGCAGCAGAGTATAATTTGTTCCTTCTTGTGCTAATTTAAATTTTTCATTAGCAATCGTGCTTTATTTGAAAAATCGCACTATTGATTTGCACTTAGAAAACAAATTTTTAATAACTGCGTCATCAACTTTTAAGGCATCTTGCACAACTAAGTTTCGAATTTGCAACATTTCACATGCTTTAAGCATGGAGCTGGCATTATCAGTAACAATGCACACCGTCTTAGTTAAAATGTTCCAATCAATCAAAATAGTGCGCAAAGTATCTGCAATGTTTTGCGAACAGTGGTTTGTTGCGTTCAAAAGTTTTTTTGTGGCCAAAGACGCTGTTTTTAGTTCAAAGTCATAAATGACCGGTCACTGTCAAAAAACTGGCATTGGCACTCGATGTCCACAAATTACATGTTATTGATACATCCGACACTTCTTGCAATATCAATGACAATTTGGCAGAGGTTTCCTTGTACAGATTGAACATAAGCACATCACGCAAGTGTGTCTTCCTTGGGAATTTATAACGAGGATCCAATACCTGAGTGTACTTAATGAAACCTTCGTTTTCGACAATGTTGTACGGCTGTACATCCTTAGAAACCATTTCTGTTAATACTTTGTCGATGTCGGTCTTTCACTTGGAATTCGACTCGTACAAGACAGCTCATTTGAAGTAGGAAGCCACAGAATTCATACTTGATCTGCAACTGCTGCTTGTAGACGCAGTCTCGTTCCTATCCGTAACTTCAACTGGTGTGCTAGAGTCCGGTTTGTTTATTTCCAAGCTAGGATGAAACCTTTTTAAAAGGTCGCGCTAGTTGGGCGTATTGCCGCTTTTTTTATATTCCTTGCCACAGTCAAGGCATTTGACAAGTTTTTGGTCGTCGGACTTTTCAAAATATTTCCAAACATGCGAAATCTTACTCCTTTTTTGAGTTGCTCTGCTTATTGGCGCAGTAGGCGTTGCGGACCTGAGACGTGTACCTTAAATTCGCCACTTTATCCATCAAAATACTTATGTAGAATACATTAAACATACCTTTTTTTAAAAAGCGATCCATATTTATTGGTTCCTTTTTAGTTTTCGTCAATTTTCCACAGGAATTTCAAATTTTTACACAAGCGAATGCTGAAATTATTTTAGCGATGTGAGACGCCAGCTATCGAAGGCACCATCGATAGTGGTTGGGTCACAATCGATTGCGGCTCGATAGTGGCCAACCATCGATAGCGTCGATAGTGCCATCGATAGTTGTCCACCTCTAATCCATGGGCCCTGGTGGTGAACTGGGTTGCCACTGTGTTGTCGCACGGCACTGCTATCGAATTTTCAGTTAATCACCCATAAGTTTCCAATTGTGGCGCCTCAACGCACAATCCTTGCAGCTGTTGCTTAAAATTAAAATTTAAGAACTTAACGTGGTAAATGTTTGTTATGTTACAATCTTCTTTTTGTTCCTGCCCTGGATATACTCGTATCTTAGGGAAACTGGCTCTTCTTTACTTTCGATATCTCGTTTTATTAATATCTATGGGTCCCGAATGCTTATCAAGACTAAACTTAAGCTTAAATTCGACTAAAATTTTTTTGGCAGTGGTAAACAGATCAGAAAAAAGGAAAGGGTATTTGATTTATTTTGAAGTGAATCTATTTAGGAACCGACGGGATAGGCAAGAGTAAAGAGTAAAATTTTATGTAACGTTTTGGGTATTTTCGTTCTACTAGAGGGAAAGAGAAAGCCATACCTTATACATATATTTTGCATAAGATATATTGCTGTTCTTGTCAAAATCGAAACAACAGCAGGCAATCCCGCGACGGCACAAAAAACAAAAAACCAGAGTGCGGAAGAAAGAGAACAACGCGCGCGGCGTTTTTTCTGGTTTTTGAGTGTGTCGTCTTGATTTGAGTGCTTTCGAATCGTAATTCCCCTCAAATCACATTGATCATTATAATGATTATCATTAGCATTATCATTATCATTATTATCATTGTTTTGGTAATTGTGTATATCTGCTGCTGCTGCTCTGTATGTAACAGTTTACCTTATATTAAATAATTGCAACAAACACAGGTAAAATACATGTTGTTGTTGTTGTTGTCAATTGTTGCTCTAGGGTCCCTTTATAAGGATACACGACAATATTGGCAATATCCTTAAAGGATCAAAAGTTGTTACTTGGTGAGTTTTATTTTGCGCGAAAAAAATAAAAATCACGAATAATCATTATTTTTGAGTTTTATTTTTTTTTGCTCAAGCTTAATGATTATTTTTGATTTTTATTTTTTTTGCTCAAAAATATTGTTTAAAAATAGAAGAATAAATATAACAATTAAAAATTAAAAATCATCAAGGATATTCATAGTGTATCCTTAAAGGATAAAAACGTGCTAGTCATGCTTTTTCTATGTTGATTGGAAGTGATTGATTTATTCATTTAAAAATAGCGACAATAATCATTAATTACGGTCCCTGCCTGGAATAAAAGTAATATATGTAAATATTGATAACTTATAATTTGTTTTCGAATTATACCTTGATCCATAGCAGGGGGGCACATCTTGACTGGCAATTGCCCTCTCCAGATATTGCCTTTTTATTAGGATAGCATCCACGCAAGCGTTTCCGACTTGGCTATTAGATCGCTCACCCTAAAAATCGAATAATGTGTCCTGAGCACTTGTGTCTGGTGAAATGGGCAGATTATTTGAGGTCTCTTTGGTTGATTAATTTGCCAGTTCGTTTTCAAAAAAGATTGCAGCTTGTTCAGCGTTTGAAGCGTGTTGAAAACCATTTTTTTTAAAGCGTGGGTCCAATAACGTTGCCATCCTACATAATGTCCTGTGCT